TGGTGGCACCCGTCTTGTGGAATGCCCTCCCATCAGATGTCAAGGAAATAAACAACTACCTGACTTTTAGAAGACATCTGAAGGCAGCCCTGTTTAGGGAATTTTTAAATGTTTGATGCTTTAGCCTGTTTTTAATATTCTGTTGGGAGCTGCCCAGAGTGGCTGGGGAAGCCCAGCCAGATGGGTGGGGTATAAATAATAAATTATTATCATCTCGTCCGGCATCCTGTTCTCACAGTGGTGAACCAGATGCCCCTCTGGGAAACCAGGGAGCAGAGCATGCGCACAAGAGCCCTCTCCCCTCCCATGGTTTTCAGCAGCTGGTATTCGGAAGATTGTTGCCTACAGATGCGGAGGTAGACCATAGCCATCATGGCTAATAGACGTCAACAGCCTTATCCTCCATGAATTTGTCTAATCTCTCTTTTAAAGCCATCCAAGTTGGCAGCCATCGCTCCTCCTGGGGGAGAGGGTTCCATAGTTTGACTATGTGCTGTGTAAAAAAGTACTTTCTTTTATCTGTCTTAATTCTTCAAACCTTCAATGTCATCTGATGTCCCTAAGTTCTAAGGGAGGGAGAAATACCTTTCTCTAAACTAAAAAGTCTGAGGTGTGCTATCTCACACACTGCTCTACAAATGCAACTGGAAAACTTAATTGCACACACAGTTTGTTTGCTTCTTCATTTATTTAAAGGGTGTGTACCCCACTCTTCGGGACGTGGGTGGTGCTGGGGTCTAAACCACAGAGCCTAGGACTTGCCGATCAGAAGGTCGGAGGTTTGAATCCCCACAACGGGGTGAGCTCCCATTGCTTGGTCCCTGCTCCTGCCCACTTAGCAGTTTGAAAGCACGTAAAAGTGCAAGTAGATAAATAGGTACCACTCCGGCGAGAAGGTAAATGGCGTTTCCGTGCACTGCTCTGGTTTCGTCAGAAGCGGCTTAGTCATGCTGGCCACATGACCTGGAAGCTGTACACTGGCTCACCTCGGGGAGATGAGCGCCACAACCCTAGAGACGGCCGCAACTGGACCTAACGGTCAGGGGTCCCTTTACCTTTACCCCACTCTTCAGCCAAAAAGGCTCTCAAAGTGTCTTACATGCAATTAAAACAAGACAGCCCCTACCCACAGGCTCATAATCTAAAAACGGTGCACAAGGGAAAGGGGGCAGGCAGGGAAGAGGAAAATAAAAATTTATATTCAGGCACCAATTTGTAAAGAGTTGTTTCTGCAACGACCATCTGGCACAGTTGTGTGTTGCAAATAGAAACAAGTGTTTTCTGAAATTGTCAGCACAGAATGATCAATACTTTTATACAGACTTTGTGTTGGGAGCTGTCCTGAGCTGCCTTCCCACACCAAAACCAGACATCAGCCAATAATATGCTGCTCACAAGGGGAATTTTTGGACAGGATGGCTCCCTTTTCGGAACTATAATCGCCTGTACAGCTGACTTCTCCTTTTCTCCCCTCCCACAACAGATTCGCTGTTAGATAATATCTTAGTAACATGAATCATGTGTTATTATTAGTGCACATTAAAGTACGGGCACAAAGGAGGCAGGGAAACATGTATGCATTTATTTCTTTGTGAAATCTGCATACCACCCATCTGCCAAATGGAGTTCCAAATGCACATTAATTAAGCAACACAGACAACATTTGTAAGAAAAAGGATAAGCAAGGATAAAATGAGAATATTGAACTCCTTCAGGCAAAAGGGGGAAACAAACAAATCGAGCACCGATTGTTATTTTGTTTAGTTTTCAATTACGAAGCGTTGGAAGTGGCTAGGATTAGATTTCCTGGCAGATACAAGGGGTGGCAATTTATTATTATCATTATCATTTTATTATTATATCCATTTATAATGCTGCTTAATGCCAAAACAGGTTTCCAAGTGGTTTACAAAGTATGATGCAGAAATTAAAATATGAGCACCCATAATTAAGATGCACAGTACAACAATCCCATTAAAATATATGCACCTGCAATTAAAATATATATACAGTGGTACCCACAGGTTAAGTACTTAATTCGTTCTGGAGGTCTGTTCTTAACCTGAAACTGTTCTTAACCTGAAGCACCACTTTAGCTAATGGGGCCTCGTGTTGCCACCGTGCTGCTGGAGCCCAATTTCTGTTCTTATCCTAAAGCAAAGTTCTTAACCTGAAGCACTATTTCTGGGTTAGCAGAGTGTGTAACCTGAAGCGTATGTAACCCAAGGTACCACTGTATATAATAAAACAATCCCATTAAATCAGCACAAAAATTGAAACAGTAGACTCGGGTGCATCTTCGAAATACAGACCAGGCCTTCCATATTTCAAGAGCAAGTCCTCTTTTTGTTAATTGCTTTGAGCCCCTATCTCAAAGCAATACTTGCCTCACAAATGTAAGGCAAAAGCTGAGGTCGCTGACCCTATAAAAATGGTGGTCGGTGCGCAATGCACTGTGGGCCAATGTACCATATTTGCTTGTGCACAAATGGGAGGGCTTCTCTGTAGTGTAGGGTAGGGTTAGGGGTTATGAATCATCTACCATCTGCTGGGGACTGATCAGAAGTATGAATTGCCAAGCGGTTATTGCAAATCTGCTGTTTTGGCAGAGGAATGCTAAGCATGGAAAACCAGCAGAACTTACACTGCCTTAAACTAAGCGGGCCAAAATTATCTCTATTCCAAACACTGCTCAGGAGATGGGCTGCTGCCAGCAGAGTTTGCTTAAGCCTGCAGAGGGGAAACGTGCCTTTCAAATAGAGTTTGACTTAAACAGCCCTTTTTGCTAGGGTATGTTCTGCTGGGTTGCCAGGCCATGTAACCAAGCTGAAGTCACCTCACCACTCCCCTGGAATGAGACCCAGTTGAGCTGGGATAAGGGAGTAACACTGGCATATCTCCAGCTGAGCTGGGCTTAAGTTAGCATCAGCCAGATGAGCCAGAGATCTTCTGGATCCTAACACCTTCATCCTAGCAGATTGTGGGTTTGGATTGCTCCCTACACTTGTAGTAGTAGTAGTAGTAGCAGCAATAATAATACAGTGTTACCTCGGGTTACATACACTTCAGGTTACAGACTCCGCTAACCCAGAAATAGTGCTTCAGGTTAAGAGCTTTGCTTCAGGATGAGAACAAAAATCGTGCTCCAGCAGCACGGCAGCAGCAGGAGGCCCCATTAGCTAAAGTGGTGCTTCAGGTTAAGAACAGTTTCAGGTTAAGAACGGACCTCCAGAACGAATTAAGTACTTAACCCGAGGTATCACAATAATAATAATAATAATAATAATAATAATAATAAATTAGTAATACCTCTTGCCTAGTTTCTGTACACTGGGATCATCAAATTGTTGAATGAGAGGGCAGTCATTTCAATAAATGATAAATAATAAACAGGTTCATTTATAGGATAATGATGGTGATGGGGTTTTCAGTCGAGACTAATGGAGGCTTCGCCCCTTTGAAAATGTGTAGGAAGAGAAAATTCTGTTCAGGGATAAAGCATTACAGAAGGCTATTAATTTAGGGAAGGCACTTTAAACGCATAGGCATTTGCAGAGGAGACTGAATTGCCTTTAGAGGCAAACAATGAGCAGTTAAGCACTGCAATAGAAGAAAACAGATTGCGTTGTAATTAAAGTGGGCTTAGCTAACCTGAACGACCGAGAGCTTCATTGCAGAGCAGGGCTGGAGTGATCCAGCCCTCCAGATCCTGACAAGCTGCAGGGAGCTTGTATAATGGGGACATCCTTGCGAATTCTTCACTGCTTCACTGCATGGGCAGCAAGTGACGATTTGCCCCATGTTTTGAAGAGGGCTGAGGCATACTGGTAATTTCCGTTTGCTGCTACAAGTTTAATTTGGAGCTGGAGTCTGCATTTGGTTTCATGCTGTTTTCATTCATCTGCAAGTGACATGAGCATGTCACATGGCGTACACATGCCACTGTGGATTATTATTGAGGGGGCCCAGCCCCCTCCTTGAAAATTTGGGGGGCAACTCATCACCTCCCTGCCCCCCAGATGGTGCCCCTGGTCTTATATATGCTCTTACTGTGATTTATGGTTGAGATGATAGATAGATAGATAGATCTCTTCCTGGAAACCCTTTTAGCATGTGGGGAAATGATATAAAATATACAAAATGTATCTTTTTAGGGACTACCTTACTTCTGTAATTTTAAATTGTTTCAACTATTTTTTAATATTTTTAATATTATGTAATACTGTTTTTGTTTTTTTAATTAATTGTTGTAACCTCCCTTAAGGTGAAAGGTAGGAAATAAATTTTAACAATAATTGTAGTGGTCATCAGATTACTTTGCCTGATGTGTAATCTGGTAATAGATTGAGTGGTGTATAGAACCCCTATAATTTTCTTTATTAGTCTTCTAGAAATTATTTTGGCTTTCTTAAAGTTTCTTCATTCACTTCAAATGCTGCTTTAGTCCAGTGATAAGGAACGTGTGGCCCTCCAGATGTAGTTCCAACTCCAGTCACCCTCAGTCAGCATGAGATGACAGATGTTTTGTTCCAGCAACATCTGGAGGGCCATCTCTGTCTCTGCTTTAGTCTGAAACAATGTTTCCCAAACTTGGCCCTCCAGCTGTTTTTGGACTACAACTCCCCTTATCCCTAGCTAGCAGGACCAGTGGTCAGGGGTGATGGGAATTGTAGTCCAAAACCAGGTGGAAACCCAAGTTTGAGAAACACTGGTCTAAAATACTGATGGGCTTTCTAGTTTGAAAATATTCTAGAAATGCGTGCTCTATTTTTTTTTTTTAACCACTCCATTTTCTCTTAAAGGCTGAGAAGACTATGATTGTATCCTTCATTATCAACAGAGGAGATGTTGGCCATCTTATAGGAAATGCTTGGAAACACCAGTTGACCGCCGGCTCAGTTGCTTTGATTCCTTCAAAAGACGTTGTCGTTGCTGCTTAAAAAGGCTCTCACCTTGTGGTCCCACCATGTTTCCTATACTGGCTTAAACCATTTCCTAAAATGCTCCTTCTGCCGTTCCTTGCAGTCTTGTTATTGAAGGAAGATGCCTGTGGGAACTTTGGTCTTTTGGTTTCTGCACAGTCCAATGAGAGGAGAGTGGTTGCCTACATGCCAGGGGACATCATCATTGGGGCTCTGTTCTCTGTGCATCACCAGCCAACCGTTGACAAAGTCCACGAGAGGAAGTGCGGAGAGGTGAGGGAGCAGTATGGCATTCAGCGAGTGGAGGCCATGCTTCACACACTCGACAGGATTAACCAGAACCAAACCTTGTTGCCAAACATAACGTTAGGTTGCGAGATCAGAGACTCGTGCTGGCACTCGGCGGTTGCTCTCGAGCAAAGCATTGAGTTCATAAGGGATTCTCTCATCTCGGCAGAAGAGGAAGAAGGGCTGATGAAGTGCGTGGATGGCTCGACATCTTCCTTCCGCTCCAAAAAGCCCATCGTCGGTGTCATCGGGCCTGGGTCCAGTTCTGTGGCCATCCAGGTCCAAAACCTGTTGCAGCTCTTCAACATACCTCAGATTGCTTACTCTGCAACCAGCATGGACTTAAGTGACAAGACCTTGTTCAAGTACTTCATGAGAGTGGTGCCCTCGGATGCACAACAGGCCCGTGCGATGGTGGACATAGTTAAGAGATACAACTGGACATACGTCTCTGCTGTGCATACTGAAGGTAAGGGAGAATGTTTATTTCATCTCCACATTCACATTCACATGCAATAAGGATACGTTCTGGGTTGCAGTATTAACATATGGAGCATATACCATGTTCCATGTTTGTAGAATCAGTATGATCTAGAACTGATTATTTTCTGTTGCCTCAAATTTTGAACCCCTTTATACATACAGCAAGGGCAGTGGTGGAGGAAGTCTCTTGGGCACTTGGGGAGGTGCGCCTAGGGGCGTGGCGAACCACCCATAGGGGCGGGGTGTGCAGTGCCACACAGCACCCATAGGGACAGGCAGAGGTCCCAAGGGGGCAGGGCCGTCTTAAGCATATCCAGCACCGTGGTGCAAAGATCCCTCTGGCGGCGGCGTCCCCTGCAACTCCAAAACAAGGGAGGGGGCAGTGGAAAATGTCCTTTGCCTCCCCCACCGCCCCAATCCCCAGCCTTGTGCTGGTCCCGTGGGTTACCCAAGAGGCGAGGTCCATGCCTGGTCTGTGGTCAAAGGTGCAACGTGGAGGCAGTCTATAGTAGCTGGAGCTGGGTGCAGGGCAGGGAGTCGGGTGAAGTCAGGAACAGGCAAGCAAGCTGGGAGCCAGGGCGGGTCAGGAGCTCTAGCAGAAAAGCAGGACAGGGTTCAGGCAGGAACTAGCAACCAACAATGTTGCTCCCGCAACTTGGGACTGGGGCTGGCCAGCTTTTATCTGCCCCGAGGCATAGGGCGGCCCCAATCCTCTGATGACCCGCCTCTCCTGGCCTGGAGGTGAGCACTCCTCCTGCAGAAACTTAGTTCCCTCCGCCTCTCTGCCCTGAGCCTCAGCAGCTCAGGAGAGGCTGGAGGGTTACCGGACCCAGAGGCAACCTCAGCTTCCTCTCATGGGGCTGAGAGTGGAGCACCTGCAGGCAATGGGTCCTCCATCACCTCAGGAGCCATAGCAGACTCAGCTGGTGCCTGCACCTGAGGATCCAGCACAGGCAAGGACCCTTCAGACTCATGCCCCAGCCCCAACTCAGCTGGTTCTGGAGGCAGGGGATCCTGTGCAGCCTGGGATCCCTCAGGTTCAGCATCCGAGTCCGAATCCCAGGCCATCACAGGCGTGGTGGTGGCGATCAAGCAGGAAAATGTGTTGACAGATATGCTCTCCAGCATCAGGGCACCCGAGAAAGCAGCCCAGGAAGGCTGTGCAGCGTCTTTCACCAGGAAGCAGGAGGAGGAAAACGACCGGGAGCAGGGCTGTCTTTAGCAGATGCAGTGGCTTGGGAAGAAAGCTGCACACCCACCAGCCATATAGTTGGTGGGGCGCAGCTGGCGGGCATGCAGGAAAAGGGGAGGCTGCCGGCAAAGCCCTGCAGCTCCCCTACTTGCTAGGGAGCCCCTGAGAGGCTGGCTCCCTGGCGCAAAGAACCACTGACACCAATGGGAAAGACGGCTCTGCAAGGGGGTGCGTCGGCGTTGCCGCACGTCCCAGAGAGGTGCACCGGCAGCAGGGAATGTCCTGGCGGGGCACCTGTGGTGATGTCACCCCCCTCAGGGATGGCACCCGGGGCGGACCACACCCACCGCACCCTCCTTGCTCCGCCTCTGAGCAAGGATACCCCACCTATCTGCAAAATGCCTATTTAGCAGAGGATAAGCTCTAGTGATGTTTACACACCCCGTTCCCAAAACTAGAAACAAACACCTGTACCCTACAAAAAACTTGAAAACCCAGATAAAAAAGGAAGAAGCACACCCAAAATGGATAAGCAATCCTTCTCAAACAATAAGAAGAAGAAGAAGTCCCAAACACCTCATTAAAAATAATATAAAATGGGGGACGGGGCATATGGCCCTGGTGGGCACTAGGTTGTGTGTATGGAGGCATTGTTGTGTCCGTTGGGGAACCCAGATATGCATATATAAATGCATAAAAATACCACACATCACCACAATAAGCTAGGCAGTCCTATTTGTACCAGTTAGTTAATAAAGGTTTATTGGCTGTGATCTTCCCTCTCTACACTTTATAATACAGACAAAGATATGTTGATCTAATATTGGACTGAAGGTAAGTCTTTTGGTTTCCATCTCTGAGAATTCTTGCTATGATCTGATCTTAGTGTCTTGTCCCAATTTTTTTTATTTTTTTTTTTGGAATCCCTTTTTTATTCTGCACTCAGGATAATTTGTGCTCATAATGCTATCAGGGTGACCATGCACAAAACATGCTTTCAATACTATTTCTGCTAGTGAAACCTTTGCGGCAGTCCTACCGTTTCATTTCAAATCAGTGCATGTCCTATAACTTCCTGCTGAAGTTCTGCAAATGTTCTGAGTTTCTGTGTTTATAGCCCCTCCAGACAGCAATAATGTGCTGGGATTAGGAAAGCATCACAGAACAACTAATAAAGCAGAATAAATCCACCACAGATGCTCTATTATTATGTCGATAATATATTGCAGAACACAAGAAACACTCGCGTGTGTGAGAAAGTGAAGGGGCAGGAAATACTTTGACTCCTGGATCCACAGAGAGCTGCATTACTGTGTTTATTTTTATTTTTTTAAGGGTTCCTTGTCTTCAATATTTTGTATACATGGGCAGGTTCACCCATCAGCTCAATGTCACTCAGAAAGTTTCATGGATAAGTGACGATTTGAACCCTGGGTCTCCATGGTCCAATCCCCCCTCACCCCAATTTTTAAAATTAAATTTCCAGAAATTCCACATACAATCCAACACACAAACATATATATAGTTAAAAAATTATATTACCGACTTCCCATCCCATTTTCTATGCTGCTTTTCTTATCCCTCCATTGCTGTACCCTGTCTTCCCTCTTTTTACATGATAATCATAACATAATAGTCTCTAATTAATTCTGTTGATCATAATTCAGATCCTGCTCATGGATTCTTCATGTTATGATATTTCTTCAAATAACCCCAAAAGAGCTTCCATTCTTCAAGAAAAAAAAATTGTTAGACTCTCTTATTTTAGCTGTTAGCTTTGCTGATTCAACATAATCCATAAGATTGCTTTCCATGGTCCTAATTCAACACTCTAACCATTTCATCATACTTCTCCCTCCCTCCCTCCCTCCCTCCCTCCCTCCCTCTACTCCTTTCATCACCCAGCAGGGAAAAGCTTGACCTCCATGTTGGGTGTTGAAGAGAGACTTTCCATTTTCTGAGCTGGGCTGTGGCTCAGTGGTAGAACATCTGCCTTGAGTGCAGAAGGTTCCAGGTTCAATCCCTGACATGTCCAAGTAGGGCTGGGAAAGAGACTCCTGCCTGGAACCCTGGAGGAGCCGATGCTGGTCAGATGGACCAATGGCCTGTGATTCTGGATAAGACAGCTTCCCACGAAGAGCTGCCATGGGAAAAAGAGAGCCATCTCTCTGTCTGCCTCCCATAACCAGCTAGGTCAACTTCCATGTGGCACTAAGGGGATGAAAGTACCAGGCAGAGCAAACATTTGCAGTCTGCTAGGGAGGAGAGGACATGATCCAGATCGGAACCCACTGCAGGCTTCATCCTAACCACAAGCCAGTGGTTCCCCTGCCTTCCTGTTGGCATTGCAGCTGGAGAATTTGGAGAGGATGTTCCTCTTGTTGGCACTATGTTCTTAGCAAGCAGAACATGCGCCTGGCAATTGGTTGATATGCGGAAGGTTTTCCATGTCACTTGCCACTTAAGTAAAGCACTTGACCCAGAAGTCCTTTAGATGACATTTTGAAAATGTTTGGCTAATTAGCCTAATGAATTTAACACTGGAGGCAACAGTTGGAGTATTCATCACGTGGATGGCAGCTTTAAACAACAGAGGAAGAACTGCTGGGGAAATGGGTGGAATTAGATGGAAACGAAACTTCGGGCAGGGTGATGTGAGAGACACCAGTTTATTTGTTTTGAAGTGATAGCTTTCCTTCCTGGAGTCCTGGCTTCATGATTCAGACGGACCACATGGATAGACCACATTAGCAGGACACGGAACGTGGTGTCCAACTGATCCTTTTGTCATGTGCAGGAATCAAAACATAGAATGACCAACTTATTTATAGCCACTAGACAAGTTACAGCATGTGTTGTAGAAATTTACTAGGCCTTCATTGATTTCAAACAGGTGTGGGCTAGTTTGGACAGTGGCCTTCCTAACGCAAGCTGCAATCTTATGTACAGTGGTACCTTGGTTGTCAAACTTAATCCGTTCCGGGAGTCCGTTCAACTCCTGGAACCATTCGAAAACCAAGATGTGGCTTCCAATTGGCTGCAGGAGCTTCCTGCACTCAGTTGGAAGTCATGGAAGTCACATCAGATGTTTGGTTTCCAAAGAATGTTAAAAAACCGGAACACTTACTTCCGGTTTTTAGCGTTCGGGAGCCAAAACGTATGTGTACCAAGGGGTTCGAGAGCCAAGGTACGACTGTACACTTAAGTAAGAGTAAGCCCCACTGAGCTCAGTTGCACTTCCTTATTTATCACATCTGTATACCACCTTTATCTTCCAAAGATCTCAAGGTGGTATTGTTGTTGTTTAGTCGTTTAGTCGTGTCCGACTCTTCATGACCCCATGGACCAGAGCATGCCAGGCACTTCTGTCTTCCACTGCCTCCTGCAGTTTGGTCAAACTCATGCTGGTAGCTTCGCGAACACTATCCAACCATCTCATCCTCTGTTGTCCCCTTCTCCTTGTGCCCTCCATCTTTCCCAACATCAGGGTTTTTTCCAGGGAGTCTTCTCTTCTCATGAAGTGGCCAAAGTATTGGAGCCTCAGCTTCAGGACCTGTCCTTCCAGTGAGCACTCAGGGCTGATTTCCTTAAGAATGGAGAGGTTTGATCTTCTTGCAGTCCATGGGACTCTCAATAGTCTCCTCCAGCACCATAATTCAAAATTATTCAATTCAAGGTGGTATATATACATGGCTTTCCTTTTCCCCACTTCACCCTCGCAACAACCCTGTGAGGAAGTTTGAGCTAAGACATAATGACTGGCCCAAGGTCACCCAGTGAGCTTCATGACTGAGTGGGGATTCAAACCCTAGTTGCCCAGGTTCTGGTCCAACACTCTAACCATTACGCCACACTGGTTCTAATTCTGAGTAGATAGAAGAAGAGCTCTGCTGGATCAGGCTAAACCAGTGTTTCCCAAACTTGGGTCTCCAGCTGTTTTTGGACTACAACTCTCACCATCCCTAGCTAGCAGGACCAGGGGTGATGGGACAGCTGGAGACCCAAGTCTGGGAAACACCAGAGGAATGTCTACTGGTCCAGCACTCTGTTCTCACAGTTGTCAATCAGATCCCACTTCTGGGAGGCTGGGAAGCAGGACCTGAGTGCAACAGCTTCAACTTCCATGCATAGGATTGAACTATAAACTCACATATTGTATAAGGTTTAAAGAATAATATGCACCAGAAAAGTTCATTGGGAAGTGGAGTATATAAAGAATATTTATCTATCCCTGGAACAGTAATATTGAAATGATATTGAACCATAAATGCTGTTTCCATTGATACAATTTTTCCTCAGATAATTCACCACTCTATATTCATCTGGATTTTACAGCTTTATAAAATCTGAGAATAAGTTTGCTATCATGTTTTGCCTTATAAAATAGGATGGTATGAAATGAATAAAGTAAGATTTCTTTCAAAGCATTTCCCCTCTTTTTGCTCTGTTTATAAATGTGTTTGCATTTGTATACTAATAATATATAATGTTAATATTGTGTAGTGATAGAGAGTTGTGCCTGGAGATGGGAAGACTCAGTGGTGATATGATAGCCATCTTCAAATATCTGAAGGGCTGTCGCATTGAAGATGGAACAAGCTTGTTTTCTGTTGCTCCACAGGGCAGGGCCCAAACCAACAGATTCAAATGGGATTCTGATTAATTTTTAGGAAGACCTTTCTGGTGGTAAGAGCTGTTTCAAGAGTGAACCAAACTACGATGGACGGTTGTAAACTCTCCTTCCTTGGAGGTTTTTAAACAGAGTTTGGATGGAGTTAGACAAGACGGGTCCCTTCCAACTTTAGAATTCTTTGATTCTAAGCAGCCTTTCTCAACGTTGGGTCCCTAGATGTTTTTGGCCTACAACTCCCATCATCCTTGACCACTGGTCCTGTGAACTAGGGATCATGGGAGTTGTACGTCAAAAACATCTGGGGAACCAAGGTTGAGAACCACTGTAAGGGATTGAGAGAGTGTTCAGCCTCAAAAGATGAGCTGAGCTGAACTCAAGAGTGTTTTGCTTTGCCTTGCTGCTACTAGGAACTTTCTCCTTTGTAACACATAAATCGTTGCCTACAGTGGAGTGTCTCAGTTGAGTTTCCCACAACACAATAGACCATGGGTAGGCAAACTCAGGCCCGGGGGCCGGATCCAGCCCAGTCGCCTTCTAAATCCGGCCTGCAGATGGTCCGGGAATCAGCATGTTTTTATATGAGTAGAACATGCCCTTTTATTTAAAATGCATCTCTGGGTTACTTGTGGGGCCTGCCTGGTGGTTTTTACATGCGAAGAATGTGTGCTTTTATTAAAAATGCATCTCTGGGTTATTTGTGGGGCATAGGAATTTGTTAATCCCCCCCCCAAAAAAATATAGTCCGGCCTCCCACAAGGTCTGAAGGACAGTGGACTGCCCCCCTGCTGAAAATGTTTGCTGACCCCTGCAATAGACGAATGCAATGCCCTATGGATGTCCATCCATCTTAGCCATCATGGCCAATGCTCAGGGGTGATGGGAATAGAACAACACCTGAAGCTGTCCATGCTACCTGCCACTGCCATAGACCCAGGTTGTGTTTCTGCCTGGTTTAATTTGAAAAGCCATGCTGGTGTTAGGTTTGTATATTTTCTCTTCTCGTACGTCCTGTGCAAGCACACCAGAAGCCTAGTCAGCAGTCTGCATAATAAACTCCCTTGGCTGAAGAGAAAGAGGGGTTGTTGTTTTTTGTTGCTGATAAATATTTGATGGTCTAATGCTGCTGGGAACTACAGTACAATGCAAACACAACTGTCTCTGAATGGGAATGAGATGGATGACATCTCCCCCCCTCCCTCACTGGCCCCAGTCCAGCTACTTCCAATGAAATGAATGGGGCATGTTGAAGCCATGCCCAATAGTGAATGTCTGTACAGACGTCAGCCCTATTGGGTTCAATGGGACATACTCCTAGTTAATTTAGGATTGCATCCTAGTAGCATAGGGAGCTGATTTTTACAGAGTCTGACAATTGCTCCATCTTTGCTGACTGACAGGCTCATCAGGATTTCTCACAGGGATCTCTCCTCACCCAGCTGTGAATTAAACCTGGTACTTTCAATATGCCTTAGCTCCGTTGATTTCAGCGGGGTATAAGTACAACACATATAAATTGGACCAGGAACTTTGGTTGTTGTTTTTATAATTGTGTTCCCTTAATTTTTTAGAGCCAGTGTGGTATAGTGGTTAAAAGCGGTAGTCTCGTAATCTGGGGAACCGGGTTCGCTTCCCTGCTCCTCCACATGCAGCTGCTGGGTGACCTTGGGCCAGTCACACTTCTCTGAAGTCTCTCAGCCCCACTCACCTCACAGAGTGTTTGTTGTGGGGGAGGAAGGGAAAGGAGAATGTTAGCCGCTTTGAGACTCCTGAAGGGGAGTGAAAGGCGGGATATCAAGTCCAAACTCTTCTTCTTCTTTTTATTCATGCCTTTCCTTTTCATTTTAAAACGTTTGCCTAACTCTCACCTATAAAGGACCTTGAACTAGCCGATAACCAAGTGAAAACATACAAAATTCAATGAAACACGTGGGCATTGCAACGCAAGCCATGATAAAAGCAATTAGAACTGCAGCAATTGTCCAATCAGCCAAATGTCGACTAGCAGTGAAATGTTACACCAGTTAATGCCTTTATCCTTGGTGACATGCTCCAATAGCTTTCTCTCTCACCCAAGGAAATTAGGTTTGTAATGTACTCTCCAAACAACAACAACAACATACCTGGTGAAGACTTTTTGCCATCTGAAAACTTCAAAAATAAGCCCGAGCAAAAGTCCTGCCTTTAACCAAACTTTCACCCCCTATGTGTCTCTTATGCTGAGTCAAACCTTTGGTCTACACTGACTGGCCGCAACTCTACATCGTTTTAGACAGGGGTATTTGCTGGCCCTGCCTGTAGATGGTGGGGGTTGAACCTGAGCTCTACGCATGTGAAACAGATCCTCTACCACCACGTTTCCATGAAGGCAAGCTGGAATGAATTTTCCCTATTTGGAAATTATTCTCTTCAAATTTTGCTGTTTCCAGGTAGGCTATAATAAGTCATAGTTGGCACAAGCCTTTGATAAGCCTTTCCTCCATTGCAAGGGGTTGGACTAGATGACCCTTGAGTCCATTCCAACTCTGCGATTTCATGATTCTATAATCAGATATTTTCCAGTTGGTATTTGGCAGTAATTGATCACTAGCCAATGGTAACAATCAGCATTTGACAGTACCGAGAAGCCACAATCAATATTTGACAGGCTCAACTAATATGCAGCAGCAATCATATTTTTAATGTGTAGGGCAGCAATTTTTGGCTATATTTTCCCCAGCAGTTGGCATGCAGTAGCGGTCTTTATCTGACGTGAATGTTTCGCAGCTGACATGTGATTGCTGTCAACATTTGGCATCCTCTAGTAGCAGAATGTAGGCTGTTTTGAAATTTTCTCCAACCATCCCTTCACTCACACAATGGAACGAGGCAAATGTTGACCTCCCTGAATTTCTGTCCCAGAATTCAGATAACAGATGTTGAGGTCCAATGCCAATATCAGTACTGGAATTTGATACGTCTGGAAATCCAGCAGACTTTAACCATTAATGTAAAAGGAATGCAGGAAGCTGTTAAACTTGTCAAGTCATAGAATCATAGAGTCAGAAGAAGACTTGCAGATTATCTAGTCCAACCCCCTGCTTGGTGAAGGAAATCTAGAGCTGGAGCATCTCCCAAGAGATGGTTGTTCAGCCTCTGCTTGAAGATGACTAGAGAGGGAGAACCTACCACCGCTATAGGTAATGGGCTGCATTGTCAAACTGCTCATATTGTCAAGAGGTTCAACCAAGATCTACCCTACTGCAACTTGACCTCACTAGAACCAGTCCTGACCTCTGGGAAGTAGAGACTCCTGAATCCTCAGAAAGAAGGCTATATCTATCTATCTATCTATCTATCTATCATCTATCTATCTATATCTATCTATCATCTATCTATCATCATCTATCTATCATCTATCTCTAGCTTATTAGCTAGCTAGCTGTCATCTATCTATCATCTATCTATCATCTCCAAACCAAAAATATAAAGGAAGCTAACTTCTCCACTTTTCCAATGAGCCTTTCATAGAGGAACGAACCATTCTGACGAACCTTTCCAATATTTTGGGATGATGTCAACTTCCGCCATCCCAGTCTTTGCCCAACCCCCCACCCACCCATCTTATTGAAAACAAAAACCTTGCAACGGTAAACAAGCCATTGATGAAGGACATTTCCTGCAGAACAAATGCCAGGTTGCTCATCTGTCTCCAGCACAATTTATTGCCTGAACCAAGGGCAGTGAGACCAATGAAAGTGTCATTGCTCTGGTGTCCTACCAAACAGAGATCCTGGAAATTTTTCTTTCTCTGCCTCACACTTCCCCTTTCTTCTTCTGTCACTTTGTGGGTGGAGAGCATAGAAGCCCAACCACCAGTAGCTGGAAACTGAGCCTGCAAGTAAGGCTTTCCTGAGCTCTTGACGCAGGAGACAGAAAGGGACAATGTTTGCAGACCAGACAGAGGAAGATAGAGGAATCTCATCATTGCAGCACTGGAACAGCATTCCTCAACCTGGCATTCTCCAGATGTTTCAGCCTACAACTCCCATCATGCCTACTGGCCATGCTGACTGATGGGAGTTGTATTGCAAAACATCTGGAAGGACAAGGCAGGGGTAATTTGCCATTCAGTGTAATTGCCTGCAATGGCCCACATGACTTGGATTCCGAGCTCCTGCAATGGAATGACATCAGCACTCACTTTGTGGCATTGTTGTTGAAATAACGCAGCTCACTGCAGCCAATAGGATTAAGTATCAGGGTGAGCAAATGACATAAAAGAATATGGAAAGGAAGGAAGAAGGAAAATAACAGCAAAAAGAAGAAAATGTGAATATGGTTGAAGCGTGCGGAGGCAGGAAAAGTGGCATAACATCAGTTGCTGGCACCCGGGGCGGGCAATTGCCAGCCCATCCCTTGCCGCTAGTGACCCTGAAATAAAGCGGGGCTGTGCTGAGCCACCTGCCCACCCACACGAAGGGGAGCCCAGCTAGCTGATGGCAGAAAGGAGCACTGGGCCTGGCCATACTGGGGCTGTCTAGGGTGTGTGTGCCTGTTTTTTTGCCATCTCAGAAATTGTGCGCCTGGGGCCACAGTGCCTCCTGGCACCCCCACACCCCCACACACTATGCCCCTGGGTGGGAAACAGTGAAGGTCCATAGGTCTGTCAGGATTTTCATTCTCTCCCGTGCTGCAGAGTGTGTGTGACTACTAGATCACATGCTCTGTGTGTTGACATTCCATTCTTTGGAAGCGTGAGAACGGAAGGAATTGTGCACCACTTCCGTCTTCTTTGTTCTGCTGTTGTTGCTCTCTCTCGGAGGAGAAGAGAACATTCCATGATTGCTCTGTTCTTTATTTTGATCCTGTAAATAAATCACTAAACCCAAATGCCATGGGTCCTCAGTCTTAGCTTCTGCTAGACTCTGCTGTGTATGACATGCATGCATTTTTGGGTCCTGCTTGGACGTCCGGAGGAGTGAATGCTGTGCTATGCGTTCCGGACCGGTTTTGGGAGAGGGCGGCCTCCCACCAAGAAGCACCGAGAAGGTCATGGGTAAAGCATCTGATTTGCATATAAGGTAAAGGTAAAGGGACCCCTGACCATTAGGTCCAATTGTGGCCGACTCTGTGGTTGTGGCACTCATCTAGCTTTATTGGCCGAGGGAGCCGGCATACAGCTTCTGGGTCATGTGGCCAGCATGACTAAGCCGCTTCTGGTGAACCAGAGCAGTGCACGGAAACACCGTTTACCTTCCTGCTGCAGCGGTACCTATTTATCTACTTGCACTTTGATGTGCTTTCGAACTGGTAGGTTGGCAGGAGCTGGGACCAAGCAATGGGAGCTCACCCCATTGCGGGGATTCGAACCGCCGACCTTCTGATGGGCAAGTCCTAGGCTCTGTGGTTTAACGGTTAACCCACAGCCTCACCCGCATCCCATGATTTGCATGTAGTGGGTCCTAAATTCAATTCCCAACATCTTTAGGTAAAATGAGGAGAAACTCCAAATGCCTGAAATCCTGCAGAGCCACTGCCAGGCGACAATACCGGTGTGACTCCCTGGTTCCAACATAAAACTGAATGTGAAACAAGGGAAGCTGGTTTAGCTCTGCTCTAATAGTAAGCATTTAATCATCAATAGCAGTGTCCAACAGCTTGTCTATAGAATCACAGGCTCAGTAAAAATCAATATTGCATATGAGGGTTTCTTATTCCCAGTGGCACACTTATATATGGTTAAACAAAGCCGTGATCTGCTTTAGAGATACCCCCTGGAGGTGGTTTGTACTTGGTCATCTTTCAAGTTTATTCAGACGATGTTTGGCACAGATTTTAGCAGCTTTCTCTGCGGATGATTGAAGAATTAAGTCTTTGCACATTCTCAGCTGACCCGATCCACACCTCTCGGACTAATGCATGGATCCCAGCTGAGATGTTCACTGAACTTTGCAAGCTTGAATGCTGTGGTGCAGTGCTTAAACATATCACAGCAGGTTTTAAAATGTGCATTTTGAGAGAAGATATGTTTTAAAAGGTATCGCCAAAAAGCCAGTTTAAATCTTAATTTGGATTCCTCGCTTCCCCACACAAATGTGCATATGAAAGCAGAAAGGAGACAGAATTCAAAGGTGACAAAGACTAGAAATAGTCTGATTTCCCCCATCCCCAGCTTTTTATTGTATTTTATTTTTTGCTAGGCTAAATAAATTTAGAACACAGGAACCTGTCTTATACAGAGTCAGACCGTTGACCTGTCAACCTCAGTACTGTCTTTACTGGCTGGCAGTGGCATTCCAGGGTTTCAGATGGAGAGCACTCTCAGCCCTATCTGGAGATACTGAGGCTCGAGCCCATCGCCTTCTACATGCAGAGCTGGGGACGCAGGTGGCGCTGTGGTCTAAACCACAGAGCCTCTTGGGCTTGCTGATCGGAAGGTCGGAGGTTCAAATCCCTGTGATGGAGTGAGCTCCCATTGCCCTGTCCCAGCTCCTGCCAACCTAGCAGTTCGAAAGCACACCAGTGCAAGTAGATAAATAGGTACTGCTGCAGTGGGAAGGTAAATGGCGTTTCTGTGCACTTTGGCTTCCATCATAGTGTCCAGTTGGGCCAGAAGCAGTTTAGTCATGCTGGCCACACGACCTGGAAAGCTGTCTGTGGACAAACGCCAGCTCCCTTGGCTTGAAAGCGAAATGAGTGCCACAACCCCATAGTCACCTTTAACGGGACTTAATTGTCCAGGGGTCCTTTACCTTTCTCCCTTTTTTTACACGCAGAGCTAATGCTATTCCATGGAGCTATGGCTGAGAAATCCTAAGATGGTGGGGACAGGGAGATTCTGCAATGGAGGGACTACCATGTCCTTAGCCAAAGGCAGCTAACCTGTGACCTTCCAGAGGTTGCTGGGTTCCAATTCATTCTCATCATCCCTGTCCCTTTTCCACACTGGCTGGGGGCTGATGGGAGTCTTAAAACATACAGAGAGTCATAGGTTAGCCACTCCTCTTCTAGGTCCTGCTGGCTCCTTTTGGCCAAGGTGGAAGGGGGGTTGGTTTTTCTCCTGTCCCTGCTCTCCTCTGAAACCCTGCTTGAAAACCTTGACGAGCTACTTCCTGTCAGTGAAGACAGTACTGAGCTAGTTAGATCAATTACCAGACTCAGCATAATCAGCCTTCTCTGCCCCTATGGTCAACTGTTCACCCATTCAATGGTTCTCGCTCTTTAAACCAGATTTGGATTGGGTGACCCTTCCAACAGAGGACTGTCTTCTGGCCATGCTAAGCCACCAAGACTTGGGTGGAGTAATTAAGCCAAACAGCAGGATTAGCAATAGCCTCCAATAGGCTAAAAAAAATCCTGTGCTTGTTCCCCCTCCCCACTCCTTGAGACCAAAATTAGCTGCTTAGATATTTACTGTCAACTCTCCCTGGGAAGAGAAGTTTGCCTCTTAACTAGATTTGCTGCTGAGCTACCTAATTAAGGAAGCACCAGAGACTTTGTATTCCAAAGCCTTCCGGGTATCCCCAGAAGATTTTCAGATTTGCCATTCGGCAGCTTGTCAACAGGAAGACAGCCGTTTTGCATGCAGAAAAGATGGTGTCACGCAAGGCACCAGTGCTATCAAATGTCTGCTTGGAATTCCCTCCCAAAGTCCTTAAGGAACCTCTGCAAAGGGGGCAGAGGGCCATCTCCTTCACCCACTGCTCAGATTGAAATATCGCGGGGGGAGGGTGTGGTGGGGGACGAAATCGTGGCAGCTAGGAAGCTTTCTGAAATGAGAGGTGCTTCCAAGATACGCCTTACGATGTCCTATGATTGAGATGTGTACTTCTGGCTTCATCAGCTCACCGCAACCACCTGAAGGTACTTTGAACCCTTGCCCATCAAGCATAGATGGGATACTTTACATACAAAAGAAAAAGAGACACGGGTGGTGCTATGGTGTAAACCACTGAGTCTCTTGGACTTGCCGATCGGAAGGTTGGCGGTTTGAATCTCCGCGATGGAGTGAGCTCCCGTTGCTCTGTCCCAGCTTCTGCCAACCTAGCAGTTTGAAAGCACGCCAGTGCAAGTAGATAAATAGGTACAGCTGCAGCAGGAAGGTAAACAGTTTCCGTGCACTCTGGTTTCTGTCACAGTGTCCTGTTGCGCCAGAAGCAGTTTAGTCATGCTGGCCACATGACCCATAAAAGCTATCTGTGGATGAATGGCGGCTCCCTAGGCCTGAAAAGCGAGATGAGCGCCGCAACCCTATAGTCGCCTTTTGAAAAAATCATTTTTATTGATTTTCCAATAAAAACAGCCAATTAACATATCCATATCATAATCCAATTAAAACCAACGAACTAAAATAAAAAACGACCAAATTACAGTCCAAATTATTAATTATATATATAAAAAATTCCAGGCTCCCCATAGTCTGGACCTCTGAAGTGTATCTCCAATATCTTCACTCCTGCGTCTTCTAACCTCATAGTCACCTTTGACTGAACTTAACCATCTAGGGGTCCTTTACCTTTTTACCTACATACAAAAGAAAGTATTTATTCACACAGCACATTGTTTAGCTATGGAGTTTGCTCTCATGGCATGTAGTGATGGCCACCAACTTGGATGGCCTTAAAAGAGGGTGCTATCAATGACTACTACCTCTGATGCTTCTCCTTCCATCGCTGGAGGCAGAATGCTTCTGAATATCAGTTGCTGAAAACCTCAGGAAGAGAGAGTATTCTTCCACTCCAGTCCTGTTTTCAGGCTTCATTTAGGTATCAGGGTGGCCCCTCTGAAAACAGGGTGCTGTACCAGGTGGTCCATTGGTCTGATCTAGCAGAGACTTCTTCTGCTGTTATATTCTTGTTAGCATTATTCATATGAACATAGAAAGATTCCTTATGGGGAGTGTGACTATTGTCCATCTAGTCCAGTGTTCTCTCCACTGAATGGCAGAAGTTCTCCAGGGTTTCACCCAGGAGTCATTTCCAGTCCTACCTGGAGTTGGTGGAGACCAAACTTGGCAGATGCTCTACCACCACTGACCTTCATCATTTATCAGACTGACCAAGAAATCCTAAGGTGGTAGTGATGAGGAGAAACCGCCATGCCTTAACCCAGGAGTGGCCACCATGCAGTTAGCCTTCAGCCCTTTCCCAGACTCTGCTAAGACCCTTTAGATATCTCTTGAACATACAGTGCCCTATGTGTGCACTCACTATGCTTGTGTGTGTGTTTATACAGACTGCACTCATGCAAGCATTGTTTCTGCAAAGTGTCTGATCGTGTCCATGGAACTGCGTGCATAGAGTAGAATGATAGATAAGGGAATAAGCCAGCCATGCTTGAGTTTCCAGGTCAACTAGTGATGATTTAGTGGCAAATTAGATTCTGAAGTGCCGAAGCTCATAATGACAGGCCCTATAGGCATCCGGAAAAGAATGTCTGTGCCCAAAAGAACACATTGATCTTTAACAAAAGATTTTGAGCTGAACTACAACCTTTAGCTTTTCAATAGAGCGGCACAGAATCCTTGTCATCGACTCATTCACTTGCCAGGAAGGTCTGCCAGTTACTCTGGCACTCCAGCAGATATCATCACTCTTGTTTGAGGCAGGGTGCGGATGGGAGGGGATAGGATGCTGGAGCTGTTCTCTCCATCCCCACTTCTCCAACCCCCCCACCTTTCTTCCTCACTTTCCACTGGCAATCTATTCATATGTTATTTCTGCCATACAAATAGCCTGCTTGCACGCACGGTGTAATACAGGTGCATCTTGCAGAACTCTGCAGACCAGTTTCCATGAGGAAGGTGTTCCTGTTTCAATATACAACCCCCTCATCTTCTGAGCTCTGAATCCTTCCCCAGGAAATGATTATCTATGGTCCTTACAAGGGGGAAAGTAATAAGTCTCTTCACTCAGGTGGACAATGGATCCTCCTGGAGAGGGAAGTATTCCATTTTTGGAATGTTTCCTCTCCAGGAGCCTTGCTTGAGTATCAAGGTCTTCTGGATCCTTGGTTCTTCAGTCTTGACTTCTGGTTGGCTCTTTGATCCTGCCTCCTGGTTTGTTCTGACTTACTCCTCAGTCCTCACCATTGGTGTCCTCACTACTGTACTCACGACAGCTTCATCATCCATAAAGATATATGTGACACCCACAAACACATGGCTCTCCCTCCGATTGATGATTGATTGATTGATTGATTGATTGATTCTCTAAGGAGCTCAAGGTGGCACTCACGGTTCTCCCCTCCTCATTTAATCTCCACAACAACCCTGTGAGGTCAGCTTGGCTGTGAGGCAGTGGCAGGCCGAAGCTCACCCAGTCTCTTAGGTCTTTGTCCAACCCTATAACCCCTACACCACACTGCCCCTCTTGATGAAAGGATGAAAGGGGTGTAGGAGTGAAGACACATGAAGATGACGTGGAGCAGGAATGGACTGATCCACTCATCTTTAATTGCAGCCCACTCTTTTTGAATTTGGCCCCCAAACTAACAGCGAGCCAACAGAAGATCTTCACGTACTGAGGAAATGTATCATCATTCCCTCAGTATTTGACTGCCGTGTTCTAGAACCAATGTTTTGGATCTCTGATGATGAGATCAGGGGGTGGGGAACCCATTTTTACCCTGAAGGCAATATTCCCTTTCAGACAACCTTCTGAGGATGTCATGCCTGTGGTGGTCAGAGACGTGAATATAAATTTGCCCTTTATACAGTGGGTTATACACCTGCACACACTCATAGCCCCTCTTGTTCCTCCAGCCAGGTCTTCAAGAGGCATTGTCAGAATTCAACAGCATGTTCCAGCAAGGCAGGTACACCCAGTGTGCAAGGAAGGAGAGGGGGCGTGGCCTAGAGAGAGTTCCAAGGGCCAGATTGCGCAACAAAGAGGCCGCATTTGGCCTGAGGTTCCCCACCCATGCCACAGATTGTGGCAATTTCTCTTGCAGATTCCCCTCCTCCCCCCACCCCCAGTTCATATATAGGCATACCAGAAAGCTACATCTAGCATGCAGATTGCTTCATTTTCTGCACTCCAGATCCATTTTAGTTGTTGGTTTCTGAACACTTTCTTTTTAAAAAAAAAAAGAAAAGAAAAAAAAAGCCACAGTGTTCTCGCAGGCCATACTGCTGAATTATTCATCGGTACTTCATTATCTCCCTCTTGCGCAGTTCAAAGGACAGCGGAAGCATGATGGGTTGCGGCTCTTGTTTCTCAGCGGGGCGAGCAGCTTGCTACAATGTCAAGCCGAGGCACTTTCTGATTATTTACCTGAACGAGCAAAACTCCTCTGATGGCACTTTGAGCTTGAGCCACCTGCCAGATTATTCCGGAGTCGGATCGGCTCATTATAAGGAAAGCGCGAGTTCTGGCAGAAGCCACCCCAAAAGCAGGGATTTGGTTCAGATACAGATACATCTGTATCTGATTGGAGGGAATCGAGAAAAAGCCACAAATCAAAGGTTCATCACACAATCAACAGGTTTTTTTAAAAAATAGTCTCAGTTTTTAAAAAGTATTTGCCTGGTCCCAGGTGTCACCACCGAGAAGGCCTAGTATGTGGTAGCCTGATGCCTCCCCTCTGACTGCAAGAATACCCACAGGAGGCCTTCCAGTGGAAGACCTTGCATTTGATCCAGAAGCTGCAGTTAATGCAGAACGCTGCAGCATGATTGCTGACCTTGTCAGCATGCAACATCTGAGCCAGTGTGGTGTAGTGGTTAAGAGCGGTAGTCTCGTAATCTGGGGAACCGGGTTCGCGTCTCCGCTCCTCCACATGCAGCTGCTGGGTGACCTTGGGCCAGTCACACTTCTCTGAAGTCTCTCAGCCCCACTCACCTCACAGAGTGTTTGTTGTGGGGGAGGAAGGGAAAGGAGAATGTTAGCCGCTTTGAGACTCCTTAAAGGGAGTGAAAGGTGGGATATCAAATCCAAACTCTTCTTCTTCTTCTTCTGATGCAACCCTTATTTATATCCCAGCTGATTTCATTGGGGGCATTGGGCATGGTCTTTATCATGCCCATCCTGTCTTTCCATGATGCCATTTGGATCTCTTAATGCCACTTCCAAAATTGTTTTCTGGAACAACATATATGATTTTCTAGAATAGAAAAATCAAATAGAGGTTGACCTGTGTTATTATTATTTAAAAAAATATTCTTTGGAATATTTGAAAGTATAGGGAATTTATTTTTTTTATATTGTGACAATCTCGTTTCCAGACCTCCTTTCATTCCCCAGTGCATCAGTTTTATTCTTCTCTCCTGAAAGGCCATTGTAACCAAGATAATTCTTCCAATCAATGTTAGCCTTCTAATTTTGTGTGGCTGCCTCGCCAGCACACTGTGTTTTATGGGCCTGTTGATTGTCTGTGGTGAATGGGATTTCTCTAGTGCTTCCAAGGCCTAACAGTAAATTAATTACCACGATGAAGTGCTTTATTTTACTCAATTCCACTCAACTGGCTAAATGAAGGCCTTTGTGTTGTACTACGACTCATGCAGTGCCTCTCGTTATGGTCTAGAAGAAGTGAAAATGTGATTTCTTCCTTTTAGTGGCTGCCGTTCCCCTTCCACACATCCAATCTGAAACTGGCCAATGAAATTAGGATCATATAGTTTAACTCTCCAAGCCCCAAGATGACTGCCCCCCCAAAAAAATATTTATTTATTTCACAATATCTATATACTGAATGATTGTAAACAAAAAAAGATCAAAGCAGTTTACAAAAATTCAAAGAATTTTATAAAAAAAAACAACCCTCAAAAATAGCCATAAGAAAAACTGGCAATGTTAATTTAAGACTTTCAAAAGTTTGATTATAATTCATTGTTGTCTGGATAGCCACAGATTCTCCACCATTGATATACAACATCAGTATTGTATGAGCCTTTGTGTGTGTTTGGGGATGGGAGCCAGCGCAGTGATCTCCACTGCCCCCGATTCAAGCAGTATTTTCAGACATGATTTGATGTTGCCTTGGCCTTGCAGGTGAGGAGAAAATTACAGATTCGGATGGACTGCACTCCTACAGCAAAGCTTACAAAGGAAATGATTAAGCTGTGTTAATAAACTGTAATTTGTTTGTGACCTGCAGACAGACAGCAGGCTCAGAATGCATTTACTGAAAATCCTCCTCTCTTTGGGGATGATATATCTCATGTAGACAGTAGCGGGTGGTGTAATGGGGCTGTGCTGCTCACCTGACCTCCATCCAGCTGGGTTGTTGCAGCAACCCAAGGTGAAGAAGGGAGCAGGCAAGGTGGCAGTGAGGTCAGAATGGTGCGATGCATTGGTAGCACCAATGTTCTTGCCAGAGCATCTGCACCGCCACCTCTCCTGCTACTGTATGTAGGAGATTAATAATAATAATAATAATAATAATAATAATAATAATAATAATTTATTATTTATACCCTGCCCATCTGGCTGAGTTTCCCCAGCCACTCTGGGCGGCTCCCAATCAAGTATTAAAAACAATACAGCGTTAAATATTAAAAACTTCCCTGAACAGGGCTGCCTTCAGATGTCTTTTAAAGATAGGATAGCTGCTTATTTCCTTCACATCTGAAGGGAGGGTGTTCCACAGGGCAGGCGCCACTACCGAGAAGGCCCTATATAAAATAGCTACATTGGTTGTTGCTCAGTGTACATTCCCTGAAGTTCTCCCTGGGTCGCTTTGCATTGTTAAAGCCCATTTGGGAATAATTTTTGGAATCACTCCCACAGTGGGCAGTGATGGTCACCAACTGAGATGGCTGAGATGGATGGTCACCAACTGAGATGAGATTTTGGGTAAAAGACGATTACCCAAATTCATGGAGGAGAGGGCAATTGAAGACTGCTAGCTAGGATGGCTGTGCTTTGCTTCCATGGTTGGAAGCAGTGATGTTTCTGAAAACCAGTTGCTGGAAACCTCAGGGAAAGAGGTTGTCCTCTTGTCCTCATGCCCTGCTTGAGGGTTTCTCACAGGCCTCTGATTGGCCTCTGTGAGAACAGGATGCTGGACTACATGGGCCACTGGCGTGATCCAGCAGACTCTTCTTCTGTTCTTAAATCAGAAACTGTAGCAGAGAAACAACAACTTGACAAACATTTCAACATTCCTTGAGCACAGCCTATTGAGGGATATTGCTACAAGTCAACTGAGTGTAGCATATGCGATCAATGTCATGCATCATTTAGAAGATTCTATTGTCTTTATGCACTTCCGCTTTCAAACAGAAGAAATGTAATAGATTGAGAACTTTGAATAGAATATATTTTGTCTTCTTCTTTCTAACAGCATGGAAACATCAGATCTTTGGTCTATCTAGTTTAGCATTGTCAACACTGAGCGGCAGTGGCTCACAAAGGAATATTACCAAACCCGGCCTGGAGATGCCCATAATTGTACCTGCTTCGCCACTGAGCCATAAGTTGCTCAAACAGCAAGTTAAAAGAACTGAACGAAGACCATTTTGATTCTTTATGAAACAAAATGATGCACTTGCCATGGGAGACAAGGAAAAGTATCCCCTCTTCCCACCGCTGCCACACACTGTACCACTGCAGCACCGACGGCTGTTTCTTGCCTCAAGCATAGCTGAGAAGCCACTACAAGTCTTGTGAGGCTTCAGCAAGGTTTCTGGCCAGACAACTACAGGCAATGAGGGCTTCTGTGGCATGCCAGTGGCTGGACAGAGGGGTACACTCATTCTGGCAGCCTGGAAGAGATTGGCCCTGCATCAAAAGGGTGCTGCTGCCCCTCCCAATCTGCTGCCTGGCGTAAGTGTCTCAGTGTGGCTCGTGGTGGGTTAAGCCTTGACATGCATTCTAGTCCTATACATTTCCCTGTGGTTCAATTTCAGTTCCATCGGGATGAGAGTATGAGGGTTTTTCCATCTCATCTCTCTCACCAGTCCTGCAGCCCTTGGAAGAACTGGGGAGTGGGGGTGGGTTTAGATATTCCCAGTTCATCCTTCTCGGAGCTCCAGCAGGGACTTCATCTGGAAAGGGGTGTGTCTGTCTCCACCATCACTTCTCAGGGGACAACCTCACATATTTATTGCAGCTTGAGACTTCCAGAAAGAATATGTCTGAGGAATACGCTAGAACTGTGGGATTTGGGGAGAGCTCAAAAGGAGCTGCCCCTCCCCACAAATGGGGAGCAGTATTGGTTCTGAATCTCCATCTACTTTCAACCTATGTTTACGTGTAAATAAACCATATATTGAAAAATGCCTATCAGGCTCCAGTGACGGCATTTCAAAGAAACAAAATCCTGAGTAAAAACCCACTTTTCATGAAAACCCCTATTCCCTTCAAAAAGCTATAGTTCAGATATCTTCTTGGGGAAAAGGATTCATCATTTGACTGCTCTGGAAAACTGAAGCTCTGTGAGGGGAGTCAAGTTGTCCTACCAACTCTCAGCACCCCATAACAAGCTATAATTCCCAGAATTCTTTGGTGAAAGCCATGACTGCTTAAGGCAGTGGTTCTCAACCTGTGGGTCCCCAGATGTTGTTGGATTACAACTCCCATCATCCCTGAGCTCTGGCCTTGCTAGCTAGGGGTGATGGGAGTTGTAGTTCAACAACATCTGGGGACCCACAGGTTGAGAAAGGCTGGCTTAAGGTGATATGATACTGCTTCCGCTATATAGTGCAAAGGGGGTTTAAGTTGCTTTATTGATTAAAAAAAACACCAACCCACACCATCTGGAAAACTGGGGTGTGCACAACAATGTAAAGGAAGTGGTTTTAAATTCTCCCTTAACAAGGCATCTCAAAAGCTGCAGAATCTGTTGAGGGATGAGGATGGAAGGAGCAAACAGCATGCTAGATTTATTTTTCAGGTATTTAGAAGTGTGACTTCAGTTAGCAGCTGCGTAACATGCAGAGGCAACATTTTACACCAAAGCTAATAGCGATTGCCTTTCAAACACAGTTCAGAAAGACACTCAGTCGCAAGTAGAAATCACCCTCTCAGATTCAAGAACAGCAGCATTCATAATGTGGAGTGGATTATGTGTTAGCTTTTCCTTTTTGCACATTTACATGAATCAACAAATCGGAAGCAGAGATCCTGAGTTCTGGAAAGGGATGGTTATATCAAAAACACGATGAGAAGCTTTCTCAGGGCCCAGCTAAAGTTTCATTTCTCCTGTGATTTCTAATCATGAATCTGAAAGGATTTTATTTTTTCATCCCACCACTTTCCTTCTGTTTACTGCTGAATCTGAAGGAATGGCAATTATTTGGTGGTAAACAGAGGGTTTTCCTGGGGGAAGTGGTGGGACAAAAATACAAGACAAAACCACTCTCAGAACCATGACTAGACATCATGGGACAAACAAAAGCCCTTATGTGGAATTGGGACATTAGTACATATAGCCCAGTATTGGTAGTCCATGTAGTCCATATAGCCCAGTAACTCTGGTTGGCAGCAGTTCCCCATGCCAACTGCTAGGTTGATATCAAACTCTAGTGTGTTGCAGTGGTTTCAGTGTCAGACCTGAGAGACCAAAGTTCAAATCCTCACTGCATGACCTTTGGCCAGTTACTGCCTCTCCATCTAACCTGAAGGACTGTTTATGGGGATTAAATGACGATGGGGAAAGCTATGTACTTCAGCTCCTGGATGAAAAAAGATGGGATATAAATGCAATAAAATAAATTATTTTTTCCTGCCCTGCTTGTAGTTTGAACCTGGAACCTCCTGAAGGCAGAGCAGTTGCTCTGTCACTAAGCTAGAGCTTTTCTCCATGTGGGGGGTCCCTGGTACCTGCATCGATAAAGTAGAATGCCATAGCCCTTGCTCAACAGAAGGCTTCTGTAAGCTTGCATGTGCATGTGACTCTTTGCACTGCTATTTCACTGCTGCTTTGATGAGATGGTGTGGGTGGCATGTCCTTTTCTGCTGTGACTTTTTAATAAGATTGTGCAAGTCATTATGCAGAGGGAAGGACAAATTCACAGCTGCAGCATACCTTGGAGAACAGAGGTGGGCATACCCACAAGATAATACCATCCCCTTAATGCTTTGCTTATGAGTACCGGGAGATATATGGAATAAGAGAGCTAGATTCGATAGACCTTGGCCTGATATATCAACACAGTTCCTATGTGCTTAGTGAACACTGGTGTGAGCACCAAGTGAAGGTGTCCTGGTGACTTCAAAGCTACCATCTGTGCCTTGTTTATACCGAGTGCACACTGTCAGGAGTTCAGCCTACACTTGAGTAGGACCCTGGCAGAGACACATACCCGACTGGCATGTTCTCTCCTTCCTGGTCTTTCATTCAGGAGCTTCATAAGCTTTCTTCAGCCCGAACATCACAGCGACTGATGCCAACCGACACCGGCACACTTAGGGATCCGCAGAGTTTGCAGTTGCATAACAGAACCCCAGCAACTCAGCATTTTGGCTAATCTACTTTATTTACATATAAACACACACGGAGCACTGCAACATGGCTCCCTCTCTCTCTAGCATCAGACAGCAAAGAGAAAAAGAACAAAGGACAATAGTCCCACTTCACGGAACACAGGAACACTAACATCCTGTCTCCATGACTTCCCACTCTGTGGAGTCAAAACATATACCATCATGTGAAAGACAACAATCCCATGAATGCAATCACAAAGCAGGCATTCTAACACACACTGCATTGTGGAAGTGAATTGTGGGCAACTTACAGTCACCAGGAGCAACGCCTCAACACCTTCCACATGCACTGTGTCAGGAAGATTTCAGGCATCACCTGTCTCAAAGATGCGCTCTCTCAAGCTCACATTCCCAGCATGTTTACACTTCTGTCTCAGCGACATCTACGCTGACTTGGTCATGTCCACAGAATAGAAGATGGCAGGGTCCCCAAGGATGTGCTCTATGGGGAGCTGGCCTCAGGCACCAGGCCTGTTGGCAGACCAACTCTCTGTTGGCAGACTAAGATGTTACAAGGAGACATGAAGACAGGTCATGCATCTACAGCAGTGACCAGGGGAGGGGTGGCCACTGGAGGAGTGCAGAAGAAGAAATGCCATGCTACACTGGCATCAGCACAACTGGATGCCTT